AATATAGCTACTGAATTCCCTATACTTTTACTTGTGTAGTATATTGTAAGTCGTATCAGTAGGCTCAGCGACTAGCATGTGTGGCGTCATGTGATGCGCGTGTGTGCGTGAGAATCCCTTTAACTTTCTCAGTTCTCCACGCTTAGGTCTACAGGCAACACCGGGCAGGCTGGGCCTTTCCCTCTCGCACTCTGCTAATATAAATGTTACCATCCAACGACTTGTGTTTAACTCCAACCATCACATCTCCACGAACCCTCCCGACAAATGGTGCCAGCGTGTGGCAGTAAATTTTATATTTATGCCAATGTAAGGAGACTGACTTATACCAGCTGATGGACATTTTGTGTCGCCAGCAGGCCTAGCCTAGCAGCCAGCTACCCGAGCAAGCGTCCACCAGCCTGTTTGCTTCCTGCTTACTGGTCAGTCTTTGTGTCTTAGTGTTTATCTGCTTATTTGCATTACTTCCGAGGGGTTGACCCAGGTTTGCAAATTAAGCCAAGCCACCAAGCCAGTCTGTGTGGGGTGAGGGGTGAGTCAAGTAGCCTACACCATCCAGCCTCTCTTAAGTTCCAGTCTTGCCTGCTAAGCCAGCTTTCCACCCCTGCTGTGCTCATCGTTACAAGTTCTCAAGCCAGCCTGTGTGAAGGGTTAAGCCAAGCCAGCCAGCCAACTAACCCAGGTGACTAACCCAGTACTCAAGCAAGCCATGCGAGTTCCAACCCTCACCATCGTTTGTGCTTCCAGTTCCAAGCCATCCTGAGTGCTTGTACCATCCCTGTGGTGTTGTGGTGTTTTGTTGGTTTTTAAGTCAGCCTGACTTAGAATATTCTCGTGCCTAGTGCAGGTGTACCCAGAGCACATGGGCTGCGCCGCTTATCCCATAGGCCCAGCCACCATGTGGTGTCGCTGCCTCAACCACCCACACCTTCCCACTACCACTGTTTTTTTTTTTTACCCTTATAACAGGTCCTAGCACCTTATTTTACAGACCACATAGGGGGTCAAGATGCAAGATTGTTTCTTCGTGCCCATGTGCCAACGTAAAAGCCTCCTGTGTGCGTTTATCATTGATTTAAGAGCAAATTCTTCGAGACGTCAACGTGTTTGAGAGTAGTGGAGAGCCACGCCAGCAACAACCACCCTTCTCCACCACCACTACCCTCATTCTTCACTAACATCGCTCAAGTGATAATAAATAGTACTTTTTTTTATAGAGACATTTGCGAGTGTTGAGACAATTTTTCAGTGATTCCTTAGTGACATTTCTTTTCAGTGACTCTTGATTAGACTGTGTTCATTATATCCTGCTTGCAATATTTTTTTCCTTTCTTCAATGTTTAATTTTCGTGCTTATTTTTTTTTTTGTCTGTTGTGTTCCTTCTTTTTTATATACTTGAAGTAAGTAGTTTTCCATTTTTTCCCTGTTGTTTGCACTATATAAGCAGTATAAACTTGTGTTTACACTTCACAGTTATCTTGTGTTCACAGTACTGTGTTCCATGCCTAGTAATTTATGCCGTGAAGCATTTCAGTAACTTGTTACCTTATATTCTGTATCACAACTCAGTGTTGTCTCAATTATTTTTTTTCTCTCAGCATTTGTGTATTCTTGCTGTTTTTTGCATTAATTCATTTTCTATTTTTACTGTGTGTTGAACATTCTTTTGTGCTAATTATTTTTATTTAGTCAGTGTCTAATTTGTCCTATCTCCATTATTTTGTTGAAGCAAGAGAATTATTTTCCAATTTTTGTCTACACAAGACCTTATAGCAAGAAAATTCTCATAGTATTGTGCATATATTGATGTGTTTTGTTCCTGCATTATTGTGAGTGTTAACCTCTCTTTGTTTTGCATTTTTGCCTTTATTATTTTTCATATTTCATTGAACAAATTCACTCTTAGTGCAATTTTTGCACTCTTTTTAAAGTAAATCATTCTTTTGCTTGTTCAGTAAGTGTTGCTTAAGCTGCAATTAAGAGTTAAAGTGTTCAGTCAGTTCATTCCTTGATCATTTTTTTTATTGTTTTTATAAACTGCATTTCTTGTGTGTGCAATTTTTTTTATTGCAGTCTTGCCTCATTCTGCAATGATTCTTGCGCAAATATTGTGCTGCCATTAATTCTTTCTTTCAGTAAATTTTTTATGTAGTGTTGTGTTGTGCAGTAATTTTGATTAGTAATTGTTCATTGCAATATTGCTACAGTTTATTTCAGTGCAATATTCTGTGATTTCAGTTTTACATTTCTTGTGTTCTGTGCATAATACTTTATTCTTTGTGTGCCACTTTATTTTTTTATAGCATTGCTTTCCCAGTCCCTTTTAATTTTGCACAAGATTTATTGATTCTGTTTTTATCATTTTTGAGTGATTTATCATTTATTGTTGAATTTCTTTATTGAACTGAGAGTAAAGACAACTCACTGTGCCATTAATTCAACTTTAAGTAAATTTGAGTAAATTTGATCTGAGTAAAGTACAATTTCTCTTGATTTTCAAAGTGTTGCTTATCCAGTTGAGTATTTTTTTTTATGTGAGTTTTCCTTGCTTTACAGTGTGACTTGTCATTTTTCTTTACTTATGCAGAATATTTAAACATTTTCTCCCATTTCAGCTTTATTGTGTCATATATTCTCTCTATTATTCTTGCTTTCATGTCCTTGAGTAAGTTCTCTAAGATGTCCCAGTCACTTTTGCTTGCTCCCTTAGTGTATCATGCCAGTCAAAGTCAAAATGAATCAGTCAACAGTCCTAATATTCCCTTACTGACTGAAAGACAATACCTAGCCCTTGAGCAATGTGTTTGTTCTCACAGCTTGTATCTGAGATTTGTTAAAGTGCTGTGAAATGTGAAGTTCAGATTAAGTTCCTATAGATCCGTGAATTACTTATTAACATAGCCGAGCGGTCAGGCACAAGCCATACTGTCACTCCTGTTTGGAATCCAGCCACAATATCGTGCACGCAGGATAGTGTACAGTTACCTTGGGTTTCAGAGGAACCTCAGACAACCCTGGGTGCTGAGATTACTATCCCTGCGATGGCGACTTGTTCAAGTAGTCGTTCCTTCCCAGGGGACGTTTTTAGAAGAACTTTACTTGCAACGAGTTATGCCATCTCTTGCTGATGTCACAAGCCATTGCAGAAAGACGTTTCTGTGGCTAGTGTACTCACTTGAGTGTTGTTGTTGTTCCTTGTGTTCCAGATGGTGATAGTATCCTCGTTGACAGTAATCCGTGCATTGTAAAAAGTTGCTTCTCGAGCAATCTTCATGTGTTGTTAACGTTTATAGAGCAGTCTCTTTATAGCTGATTCCTCGTGTCACTGTGTGCAACTCAGAATGAATACCAGTATTGTCGACCGTGTTCATTTTTTTCCCTGTGCTTGCAGTGAGAGATAGTAGATCCGTTCTCCCTTGCTTATATTTCCTGTTATAGCATTATCTTTTTTTTTCACCGGGGAGAGTCATCCACTCCACCGAGTTTGTTCATTCTTCCAGTAAGAAAGAACCGATCCCTTGTGGTCTGGTGTGAATCGATTCCTGCTCCAGGAAGCTCTTATTCTGACTGTGAAGCCACCAGCACCCATTAGTGACTTTGTAATGAGTCCCGAATTACTGTATCGAACAGCCGAGTTGGGTACTCCAAGCAGAAGAGTATACCAGTTAGTAATTCCACAGTCACTAGTGAATATAGCTGTATCTTTTGTAGATACTTGTTCAGATCTCCCTCAGTCAAGGCATGTGTTAGCCATTACAAAGGAATTCGATCCTCCCAAAGACGATAACCATTCTGCATATGTAAATCTTACCCTCGCAGAGTTGTGTTTAAATGTACATATTCTGTATAATTAGATGTTCAAGATGATTGAAGTTGTCCACTGTGTGTTTTGTTATTAGCTGATCAGTTTTTCAGAATTTTTTTTTTTGTGTTCACGTTCCCTCCGAATTCTGAGAATTTAGCAGTAATGATCTGTGCGTGCCAGATCTGCCTTTGCTGTTAATTACTTTCACCTTTGTAAATATATTTATCCTTCCTCAGAATCCATAGAGTGCATGAATACAGATCGATCGATCACTTCCATCCTTTATTATACTATGATTTGTATTTATAATTCATAATGCATTACATTAACACCCATTATGTTAACATCCATTACGATACCGTCCATTAGTTCTAAGTTACTTATGTCTTTGCTATTGTATAGAATCAGCCCAGAACCACCTGCCTGTTCAGCCTATAGCATAGTATTGTATGTTGAGACGACATACGTAACATGACCGAGCTGTCAGTATAGCTACTGAATTCCCTATACATATACTTGTGTAGTATATTGTAAGTCGTATCATCCATGTATATATTTAGGCTCTCTTTCAGTAGGCTCAGTAACTAGCATGTGTGACATCACGTGATGCGCATGTGTGCGTGAGAATCCCTGTAACTTTCTCAGTTCTCCACGCTTAGGTCTACAGGCAACACCGGGCAGGCTGGGCCTCTCCCTCTCACACTCTGCTAATATAAGTGTTACCATCCAACTCCAACCATCACATCTCCACGAACCCTCCCGACAAGGCTACATCACTGCCTACTAAGGTAAGGGCTACATCACTGCCCACTAAGGTAAGGGCTACATCACTGCCCACGAAGGTAAGAGCTATATCACTGCCCACTAAGGTAAGGGCTACATCACTGCTCACTAAGGTAAAGGCTACATTAGTGCCCACTAAGGTAAGGGCTACATCACTGCCCACTAAGGTAAGGGCTACATCACTGCCCACTAAGGTAAGGGCTATATCACTGCCCACTAAGGTAAGGGCTACATCACTGCTCACTAAGGTAAAGGCTACATTAGTGCCCACTAAGGTAAGGACTACATCAATGCCCACTAAGGTAAGGGCTACATCACTGCCCACAAAGGTAAAGGCTACATTAGTGCCCACTAAGGTAAGGGCTACATCACTACCCACTAAGTTAAGGTAAGCACTAAGCTTTTACTTACCTTAGGAGGTGAGGGAAAGTTTCCTGGAGGTGCTGGTGGCTTGGGGTTGAGAGTTATCTTGCTGATAACTGTAGAGAAATAACAGTCATCTCAGAGATAACCAGTAAAACAGTACTGCCAGATGCAGCTGTCTGTGCATGAATCAGGGAGTGTTCGGTTCTGAAAACACTACTAAGTGTAAAAGTCAGCATTTACATCCATGTTTATAAAAGTATACAAAGGTTCGTAAATCACACTTACATACAGAACTACTTCTGAGGCTTCTGCAGCTATGACATCTCTTATTACTACTACTACTACTACTACTACTACTACTACTACTACTACTACTACTACTACTACTACTACTATTACTACTACTTCTACTACTACTACTACTACTACTATACTACTACTACTACTACTACTACTACTACTACTACTACTACTACTACTGCTGCTCTACTACTACTTCTAATACTACAAGAATTCCAGAGCCTTGAAGAAAAGAAAGTTACATTTAATTGGAACTAGGATCCATACTAGAGGTATCAACATAATGTTGTAAAAAATCCTGACCTTGTAAAAGACTGTGACTTTGTGAAAGACCGTGAAAGACCGTAACATTGTAGAAGACTTTGGTCTTTGAAAATGGAGTGAATTACACACCTGATAGTGAGAGGGGCAGAAGAATCCAAAATATTATACATAAATACAGTCACCAGCAAGCTGAAAGATCTGAAAGAAAGAAAGAACAAGAAAGGAGAACACTGACGTCATAACTATCACAGAGACAGCTCGTGGTAATACAGACAGATGTGATATTCCCTGACAATCATCAGATAATGAGGAAAGTGATAACAGGCGAGAGGGATGTACCAAGAGAACCTTGATCAGCTGTAAACCGTGGAATCTGAAAAGCACAGAGACTGAACAGTAACACAAGAAAACGCCAAGGTAACATTGATATTAATGTACAGCACAGGTCTTTTCTTATGTGAAGAAGAGAAAACAGACACACCCAGGAAGATCTGGACACACAATGTCTTCGTCACCAGAAGTTGCTCAGGCCAGAGATGGGAGAGAGAAGACTAGGATGGAGTACAGCATTTAAGTGGGAGAGAGAGAGAGAGAGAGAGAGAGAGAGAGAGAGAGAGGGGGGGGGGGTAATGGTGGTAGCCTGC